ATAGGCATGATGGATAAATTTACAGATGACACCAAGATATGTAAAGTATGTGGTAACAATGACATAATGAGGATAGAGAAATTAAATGAGTGGGCAAAAATCTAGCAGGTGGAGTATAATGTAGGAAAATGTTAAATTATCTATTTTGGCAGGAAGAATATAAAATCAGTATTATTTAGATGGAGAATCACTATAGAATTTTGAGGTGCAAAGGGATGTAGGGCTTCTAGTGCATGAATCATAATCGCCTCTGTATCTGCATACTTTTTTTTAAGAAGTTTGGGAATGCTATCTTTTATTATGAGAGAAACTGAATATAAAAGTGAGGTTGTATTTCAGTCATACAGGGCATTGATTAAACCACCTCAAATACTACGTGTGATTTTGGGCTCCCTATTTAAGGAAGGATACAGTTGAAAGAAGATTACCAGATTGATACCTGGATAAGCAGGCTATCTTATGAGGAAAGATTGGTCAGGCTGGGGTTGTTGCCATTAGAGTTTTGAAGACTGAAGGTTGATTTGATTGATGTGTACAAGACCTTTAATGATCTTGACAAGGTGAAAGACATTGAAGCAATGTTTACTTTTGTGGATGAGTTTAGAATTAGGGTGCATCATCTCAAAAGTAAAGGTCATTCTTTTAGGAGAGGAGAGGATATGCAACTCCCCCCCTCCAACCAAAGGAGGACAAAGGCACTGATTTAGAGTGGAAAAATAGAGTACAAAAGTAAACTTGCAGGGAACATACAAACTGATTATAAAAGCTTCTATACACAAGAAGAAAAAAGATTAGTAGAGACAATGTGGAACCCTTACAATCATAAACAAACAGAAATCAGAAGTTATAATGGGGAACAGAGACAGCAGACCAATTAAATACATTTTTTGGTTCTGTCTTTTAAAAAGAGGACACAGATAGAGTCCCAAACATATTGTGGAACAAATGGGAGCTGGAACTAAAGGAAATCAGTATTAGTACAGAAAGTGTGTTGGGAAAATTGATGGGATTAAAGGTCAACAAATCCCCAGAGCCAGGTAATTTACATCCCAGAGTACTTAAGGAAGTGGCCCTAGAAATAGTGGATGCATTCGTGGTCATCTTTCGCGATCCATGAGAACAGTTCCCATGGATTAGAAGATAGCTAATGTAACCCCACCATTTAAGAAAGGAAGTAGAGAGAAAACAGGGAATTACAGACATGTTAGCCTGATATTGGTAACAGGGAAAATGCTAAAGTCCACTGTAAAAGATTTAATAGCAAAGCACTTGGAAAAAGTGACACAATTGGACTGATTTACAAAAGGAAAATCATGCCTGATGAATGTATTGGAATTTTGAGGGGATGTAACTGGTACAGTTGATAAGGGGGAACTGGTAGATGTGGTTTACTTTCAGAAACCATTTGATAAGTTCCCATGTAAATAGATTAGCATGTAAAATTAAAGAGAATGGGATTGGGGGTAGTGTACAGACATGGATAGAGAATTGGCTCACAAACAGGAAACAACCGTTAGGAATAAACAAACCATTTTCTGAGTGACTGAGTGACCAGTGCGGTACTGCAGGGATCAGTACTCAGACCTCAGCTACTCACAATATATATTAATGATTTACTTGTATCTTCATCTTGTAGATGATACACACTGCTGTGACTGAATATCAGTGGCAGAGGAAGTGAATACTTATTGATATGCTGCCAAAATAATGGGCTGTTTTGTCTTGGAAGGTGTTAAGCTTCTTGAATGTTTTCAGAGCGGCACTTATCCAGGTAAGTGAGGAATATTCCATTCGGCTCCTGACTTGCGCCTTATGGATGATGAGCATGCTTTGGGGAGTCAGAACGTGAATTTCTTGCTGCAGGATTCATAGCCTCTGACTTGCTCATGTAGCCATATATATATATTCAGTTTCTGGTCATTGGTGACCTCCTGGATGCTAACAATAGAGAGATTCAGCAAAAGCCTTGCCAAAAAAGCTTATCAGATGATGGTTAGATTCTCTCATGTTAAAGATGATCATTGTCTGACATTTGTGTGGATGAATATTACAGGGGGTCAGTTAGCTCAACCGATGGTTGGCTGGTTTGTGATGCAGAGTGATGCCAATAGCACAGGTTCAATTCCCATACTGGCAGTGGTCACCATGAAGTTCCTGCCATTTCAGCCTTGACCTTTGCCCGAGGCAATACTCAGGCGAAACCACCACCAATTGTCTCTCTCCAAGAGCAGCCCTATTGAGACTTTACTTATACAATCAGTCATACAGCATAAAAACAGACACTTCAGCCCAACTCATCAATGCCGATCAAGTTTCCTAAACTAGACGCATTTGCCTGCATTTGGGCCATATACCTCTAAACTTTTCTGATTCATGTATCTGTCCAAATGTCTTTTAAATGTTGTAACTTTACCTGCATCAACTATTTCTTCTGGCATTTCATTCCACAAATAAATTGCTACCCGTGTTAATAAGTTTTTCCCTCATATGCCCTCTAGTTTTGAATTCCCCTATCCTCGGGAAAAGACTTTTGCTATTCACCTTATCTATGTCCCTCATCATTTTATACACCTCAGTAAGGTCACCCCTCAACCTCCTACGCTCTAGTGGAAAACGTCCCAGCCTATCCATATAACATAAACCCTCCAGTTCCAGTAACGTCCTTGTAAATTTTCTCTGCACTCTCTCCAATTTAATGATACCCTTCCTATTGCAGGGAAACTTGAACCACACACAGTACTCTAAAAGCCAACCCTGGTCAGTCCAGATTTTGACTAGGTATTGTCTAAGTCTTGCTGCAGTTGGACCTGGATTGCTTCAGTATCTGAGAAGTCACAACTGGTGCTGATCATTGTGCAATATTAGTGAACATCCCCACTTCTTACCTTGAGAGATGGTCACTGATGAAGCAGCTGAAGATGGTTGCACCCTAGACACACTGTGAGGAACTGTTGTAAAGATGACTGACCTCCAACAACCATAATGTTCTTTGTGCTGGGTACAATTCCAAAGAGCAGAGAGATGTGTCCTACTATTTACTGACTCCAGTTTTGCTAGGATTCCTTTATTCTACACTCGGTCAGATGTGTCCTTGACGTCAAGGGCAGTCACTCTCACTTCACCTCTGGAATTCAGCTTTTTTGACAATGTTTGAAGAAGGGTGTAAAGGCCAGGAGCTGACTGTGAAGAAGCCCAAAGTCAGCATTAATGATCAAGTTACTGCTAAGCAAGTGCTGCCTGCTGCACTTGGGCAAGTTGGAGTTGTCCCATTTTCTGTGCTGTATTTTAGCAAATTTGTCACATAGCCAGGCAAACATCTGTGAAGTGGCTGTAATGGAACAGCTTGGACAGGTCTGGTTCAAAAGTGTTCAATATTTTTGTTGGAATGTTGTCAGGGACCGCAGCTTTTGTAGTATCCAGTAGCATCAGCTGTTTCTTGACATCACATGGAGAGAGACTAATTGGTTGAAGATTGGCATCTATGGCATCTCCCAGAGTGCCACCCTCACCCACTATTAATAACTTCTGGAACGCCCCACCAGTGTTCCTCACCTCTGATCGGATAAGCTGTTTACAAGCACTCGAGTACCAGGCAATTCACTATGTTGAAATAACACACAAATTTGAAAGTGGTTCGATTTTTACTCTAAATTCCTGAGACAGGTGCACTGCTGACTTTGGGCCAAATCCAATCCTTCTTCCAATTCTGTACTTCCCAATATTAACAGATCAGGAACACTGGTCAACATTCCCATGTTGCCTACACATTTAGCAACTGGCAGGACCTTTCCAATAATAATTATTTCTTTTGCTTAAGAATACCTAAAAATAGTTTCCTTAATTTATTCCAAATTTCTGTCACTTCTGGTACAATAAGGTTCTGCATCAGGTAAAGGCTGTCTTTGCTTTTTTTTTTGTATTTTTAAATTGTGCACCGAAAAGGGAAAGGATTTGTTTTAAAAAGCAACGATTGCTGAAAGATAAACACATGTTTTAACCTGACCCTCACTGCAATCACTGTTTATACAGCTGCTGTTCAAGCAGGAGGAGGATTTCCTGACAGACTGGAACTAAGGATCTATATAAATGGAGATTTGGCTGGCAATAAGTAGTTGATTAGTCCACGGACCAATGACCAGTTATCAATCCTCTGCCTGCCGACAAGTAAATGATTGGTTCTCGGGCAGCTGAACAGCTTTAGGCTGTGAACAAGACGGTGAGAAACCTTCGGATTTCCACCAGTTCAGGACCTGTGCCGGTTCCCTGCACACCTTAAGCCTGAATAAAGACAGTTTATTCTTTATTTAGTGATGTTATGAACTGTGACTTCTAATTAATAAATCAGAGATCTTTTAACATGAATCAATCGCCCTTGTGCCTCCTAAAATCCAGTGAAAACATCTGGAGGAGGACAATGAAGAAGCAGTGCTGCAATACAAGGGCCACCTCAGCAGATCCGGTGAACAGAGACCACTGAATTGTTTCTCAGGTTTTTCCTCTGTCCATAACACCACTTTTTTTTTCTCCTGTCTGAAACTGCATAAGAGGAAGTTTGGATGGAGTTAAAATTTTAACTAGTATATACATGCCAACAGTTCATAACTGTCTACCTGTAGCTAGAGTCTATTTACTTGTAATAAATAGTAATTCTTGGTAAGTACAGAAACCTGGTCCATGCTTTTGGTCAACCTGGGTCTGAAATCAGGTAAACTGGGGAATTTTGCATACGTGTAAGATCATAACCCTTTGTAACAACTCCAGAAATTTATTTCCGGCATGCTACCCCAGTGAAATGTCACAATTGCTAGATACAAGCTTCAAATGCTAACAATCCAGAACAGAATTTTACTACAAGATGGCTGCTTACAAAACTTTGACACCGGACGTTAAAACTATTCATTTCTCAATAATTCACTCAACTTTAACACTCTAAAACCTTGAGCAAATCAGAACTCTATAAATACTCAAAAAACCATAAAAAAAACTCAAAGTTCAAGAAATTATTTTTAAAGTCTTTTTTGGCTATTACATATCAGAATCCAGTCACTGACAAGTCCAGTAGTTACATCAAAAAGTAGAAATTGAACAAAACTACTGTTTTAGCCATTATTTTTCTTTCTCACAAACTTAAAAGGTCATTGGGAGAAAACTCTTTGTTGATACATTTACAATGGGAAAACAAGTACAGGGACAGAAGAGGCTGTGTGATGGCAATGTATTACACCCTCCGCCTGATAAATGACAAACGATCTGCAGGTAGTTTCCAACTGCGAGAAGTCCATGTTCATATCTGAATTAGCTTCTGCAATATGATTGTTCTACATTTAATATCTATTTTTGGTAGAAAGTAGTTAGTTTCTGCATTACTGTAAGCAACTGGCAACATGATGACCAAAAGAATGGAGATGTCTTTAGTTCTCTCCATGATTAGATAGTTCATGACAATAAGATTGTTTCAACACAACACTGATTGAATTTAAGATCAAATTATTTTAGTAGGTTGCAAAATTTAACACCCAAATGTACTAAAAGACAAAAGACAGGTTTGCTGTTGATCTTTTCAATGCATATAGGACAAAAGTCAATGTCCTCCATACACAGAAACATGCAATATAATGAACTTTCACATACATCAGTTGAAACAAAACACAAACAATTAAAACAGTTGATGAAACATATGGATTCCATGATAAGGGAATGGATGAAGTCTGTGAATGTTCTCGAAAGTTTAGTAGATGAGTTCCACAGTTTCCTTGATGTTGAATCTGTCTTGTGATCACATCACAACTTCTAAATATTACATTTGTGAGGGAGTCAACTTTTTCTGGCATATGTATAAATAGTTCATTTATTAAATATCAGGGCACCTTTGAGACACCATGAAGCACGAGCTATCCTTGACTCAATGTTACAATTTCAGCAATACATATAAAAGCAAAATATTCTGAATGCCAGCTACAAAAAGAGACAAAATAAATTGATTTTCTGTCTGTGGTCCAGTTTTTTGCTACGTAAAGTAATTTTTTAAAATTTTGTACATTATTTTACAAGTTTTACTTTATCCTTTAGCACTTTAAATTTAGGGTTAGAGCTTATCTTCTTGTAAAAGATTGCCAGGAGTTCCACTTCAGATTTGTAGTTACTATCACCACTCTCAGCGTAGTACTGGGATAGAACCTGCAAGAGTTTGGATACATGTCAACTGAGACAAAGAGTAATTAATTTTTTTTCCTGAAAAACACATTTTTGTCAAAGCATTTCATTTTCTTATTCATCAGGAATCGGTATTCTTGTGAACTGTCCAGTGGAAAACCAACATTTATACTCAACAAGAGAAGAGTGCTGAATTGCTGCCAATGGACTGGCAGAGGCATTGCCATGGAGAATGCACTCATTAATGCCAATAGACAGTTAACTGCTCAACTTTGTTTAAATTTTAAACCTTGATTTAGCATTCATGCAAATTGTCCAGATGACTGCAAGGTAAAATGTTCTGACAAAATTTGTATTTTCCCAGCAATACTCATTTTTCAGTACTATCAAAAAAGTCATGTTATTATGTCATAGGCAAAATAACTATCTAAATCTAGTAACCTGTTTCAATACTCAACAGGGAAAAAGATCAATTTATTATGCAGGATTATTTCTGTTACTAATAATTTCATATTTTGTTTTCATCTTTTGTAATTTGAATTTTACAGCTATCATATACACACATACCTTTTTCCGCAATTTTTTAATAGAAATTTCCTGCTCTGGAGACTGCTGTAGAACAATTTTGATTGTTCTTTTCCAGTTGAATTTCCCTTAAAAAAACAGATAATAATGTATAACATATGAAGTTCGGGATTGCAAACTAAAGACAAATGATCTAAACAGAATGTGCAATGCATTATCTTCCAGTTTTAGAATTTGTTTGGATCCAAATCCACAACAAAACTTCGGATGAGCTAGTCATTTGGAATATGCGCCCTCTAATTTACAAGCAACTAAAAAGAACACTTTATGCAAACATGAAAATATATACACTTTTTTTTAAAATGCTGAGCACGTGTGGGCCTTGCTGAACCCATAAAGAAGGAAAAGATATTTCTTTTGTCAATGGTAGCGACTTGAGTGAGTCAATACATTGAGTCAACACAAACATTTGAGTAATAAACCCAAATTTCAAGTCAGTATTAGGCGTTATCATATTTTGAACCAGATGTAAACTGAAGCCCGACATCCTGCTCAGGCTAATATATACTATTCAATGAAGAGCAGAGAAGTTCTCCCTGTTCTCCTAAAATTATCTGTTCCTTTATTTCACTATTCCTTGTGGGATCTTGTTCTGTGCAGGTTGGCTCCTATGCTTTCCTCCAGAGCAGTTAACTAACCAGGGGCAGCATGGTGGCTCAGTGGTTAGCACTGCTACCCCACAACTCCAGGAACCCAGGCTCAAATCCACCCTCAGGCGACTGTCTGTGTGGAGTTTGCACATTCTCCCCACGTGTGTGTGGGTTTCCTCCGGGTGCTCCGGTTTCCTCCAACAGTCCAAAGATGTGCAGGTTAGGTGGTTTGGCCATGCTAAATTGCCCATAGTGTTCAGGGATGTGTAGATTAGGTGGGTTATAGGGGATGGGTCTGGGTAGGATGCACTGAGGGTCGGTGTGGACTTGTTGGGCCGAAGGGCCTGTTTCCACATTGTAGGGATTCTATGATGATCTAACTTTAAAAGCATTGATTGTACAATATGTGGGGATACTCCGAATTTGAGGGAGGTGCTACATAAATAGAATCTCTCACAGCAATTTTCTAGATGTTGAGAAACTAAGAACAGTAGATGAGAGGAAAAATTTTGGGGTCTCAATGTACAAATTACCAAAGCATATGGTAGACATGTACAAAGAAAACCCAAATGGAAATAGAATGCTGGCTTTTATCTCAAGGGGACTGGAATACAAAGCTCTGGTTAGATCCTATCTGGAGTAATATATTCAATCCAGGGGATTCGGAAAAAAGAATACTGGTCTTGGAAGGGTATGATGCAGATTCACCAGAATACTGGCCCTAAAAATGTTAAATTTTAGGAACTGGGGTGGGGAGGGGTGGGGTTGCGAGAGATTGCGCGCGCGCGCGAGAGAGGTTGCGCGCGCGCGTCTGTCTGTGTGGTAGTGATGGGTGGTAGCGGTGGCAGTGTTAGACAGATTGCATGGATTTGACTTGTGGGTATTTAATCAGCCTGTTCAGACATGACAGTTATGACACACCTCTGGAGCAGTTAAGACTTGACCGCAGGTCTTCTGGTCCAGAAGTAGGGACATTACCACTGAATTACGAGATCCCATGGACATGGCCTCTGTTTTTATACATAAAATTAAACCTCCACCAAGTCACCTATTATTCTAATTAAACAGACAAACATTTCCCATCTGGCCTTTGTACTTCAGTAATCAAATGGCGATCTCACTGAGGTGATTAAGACAAAGCTGAAAAGAGAAATTCTCTCACCCAGTGGAAGAATTCAGAACAGGGCAAATAATCTTTAAATTAAAAAGGGCTGCTCAGCTATTAATAGTATTAAAACAAGAGCACAAGGTAAGATGCAGGAAGCACAATCTAACGGAACGCTGGAATGGACTCAAGGGCCGACGAGCCTACTCCTGTTGCTGTACAAGTTATGTTTTGTATAGAAGGGGAGGTGATAACCTAGTCATATTATTGCTGGACTATTAATCCAGAAACTCAGCTAATGTGCTGGGGACCCAAGTTTGAATCCCACCAGAGCAGATGGTGGAATTTGAATTCAATTAAAAAAAACTACCTAAGACCATGAAGTCACTGTTTGATTGTTGGAAATCTGACATCCTCATTTGGTCTGGCCTACCTGTGACTTTCGAGCCACTGCAATGTGGTTGACTCAACTTCACTCTGAAATGGCCTAGCAAGCCACTCAATTGTATCAGTCGCTACAAAGTCTCAACAAAGAAATGAAACCAGACTGATCACCTGGCATCGAACTAGGCACCAAAAAAGACATGGCAGAAACAGCCCGGTCAACTCTGCAAAGTCCTCCCTACCAGCACTTGGGGGTTTGTGCCAAAATTGGGACAGCTGTCTCACAGACTATTCAAGCAACAGCCTGATATAACCAATCTCATGGAATCATACCTCACAACAACGACTCAGACACTAATATCACTATTGCTGGATATGTCCTGTCCCACCGGCAAGACAGAACTGGAAGAGGTGGTGACATATTCAGGAGGGAGTTTCTCTGGGAGGCTTCAATATTGACTCCAGACACCATGTCATCAAGTTAAACATGGACAAAGAAACCTCCTGCTGATTATCACATAATGCCCTCCCTTAGCTGATGAATCAACACTTGCAGGAAGCACTGGAGGTAAAGGGTGCAAAATATACTCTGGGGGATTTTAGTGTCACCACCTGTAGTCACTTGGCAGCTGTACTACAGATCAAGCTGGTCGGGTCCTAATGGACACAGCTGCTAGGCTGGGTTTGCCGCAGGTGGTGAGGGAACCAATAAGAGTGAAAAACATACTTGACCTCATCCTCACCAACCTGCTGTTGCAGATGTATCTGTCCATGACAATATCGGTAAGAGTGACCATTGCACAGTCCTTGTGGAGACGAAGTCCCGCCTTCACATTGAGATTACCTTCCATACTGTTGTGAGGCACTATCACTGCGCTAAATGGGAGAGAATGAACATCTAGCAACTCAAGACAGGAGAGGCTGTGGTCCATCAACAACAGCAGAATCCTACTCAAACACAATCTGTAACATCATGGCCCAGCATGTCCCCCACTCCACCATCACCACCAAGACAGGGGATCAAACCTGGTTCAATGAAGAGTGCAGGATGGCATGCCAGGAAAAGCACCAGGCATACATAAAAAAATAAGGCATCAATCTGATGATGCTACCAACAGGACTATTTGCATGTCAAACAGCATAAGCAGCAAGTGATAGACAGAAGTAAGCGGTTCCACAACCAACAGATCAGATCTAAACTCTGCAGTCCTGACGTATCCAGGCATGAATGGTGAAAGACAACTAAACAACTCACTGGATGATGAGGCTCCACAAACATCCCTATCCTCAATGATGGAAGAGCCCAGCATATCAGTGCAAAAGATAAGGTTGAAGCATTCTCAGCAATCTTCAGCCAGAAGTGCCGAGTGGATGATCCATCTTGGCATACACCAGTGATCCCCAACATTACAGATACCAGTCTTCAGCCATTTTGATTACTCCACATGATATCAAGAAATGGCTGGAGACACTGGATACTGCAAAGGCTACGGGCCCTGACAGCTTTCTGGCAATAGTATTGAAGACTTCTGTTCCAGAATATGCTGTACTTCTAGCCACGCTATTCTAGTACAGTTACAATACTGGCATCTACCCAACAATGTGGAAAATTGCCCAGGTATGTTCCCTACTTAAAAAGCAGGACAAATTCAACCCGGCCAATTACCGCCCCATCAGTCTACTCTTGTTCATCAGTAAAGCGATGGAAGGTGTCATCAACAGAGCTATCAAGCAGCAACTGCTCAGCAATAACCTGCTCAGTGATGCCCAGTTTGGGTTCCGCCAGGGCCACTCAGCTCCTGACCTCATTACAGCCGAGGTTCAAACATGTACAGAACAGTTGAATTTCTGAGGTGAGAGTGAGAGTGACAGCCATTGATATCAAGGCTGCATTCAACCACGTGTGGCATCAAGGAGTCCTAGCAAAACTGGAATCAATGGGTATCAGGGACAAACTCTCCGGTGGTTGCAGTCATACCTGAAACATAGGAAGATGGTCGTGGTTGTTGGAGTCAGTCATCTCAGCTCCAGGACATCTCTGCAGGAGTTCCTCAGGGTAGTGCACTAGGCCCAACCATCTTCAGCTGCTTCTTCAATGATTTTCTCTCCATCTCAATTCAGAAGTGGAGATGTTTGCTGACGATTGCACAATGTTCAACACCATTCACGATTCCTCAGACACAGAAGCGGTCCACGTTCAAATACAACAAGATGTGGACCATATCCAGGCCTGGGCTAACAGGTGGCAAGTAACATGCATGCCACACAGATGCCAGGCAATGACCATGTCCAATAATAGACAGACAACCTAACCACTGCCCCTTGGCATGCAATAGTACTATCACTGAACCCCTCCACTATCAACATCCTGTGGGGAAGTGGGGTGGAGGGCGGTGGTGGGTGGGTGGGGTGGTGAGGTTACCATTGGCCAGAAACTCAGTTGTACAAACCATGTAAATACAGTGGCTATCAGAGCAGGTCACAGGCTAGGAATACTGCAGCAAGACACTCATCTCCTGATCCAGCCCCCAGTAAAGCCTGTCCAATATCTACAAGGCAAATGTGTGATGGCACACTCCCCACTTGCCTGGATGTGTGCAGCTCCAACAAAACTTAAGAAGTCTGACACCATCTAGGACAAAGCAGCCCACTTGATTGGCACTACATCCACAAACATCCACTTCCTCCACTACCAACACTCAGTACACACTGCTGCACTGTAGAACTTTACCAAAGATCTTTACACAAAACCTTCCAAACCCATGACCACCTCCATTTAGAAGGACAAGGGCAGCAGATACATGGGACCATGACCACCTGCAAATTCCCCTCCAAACCGCTCACCATCCTGACTAGGAAATATATCACCATTCCTAAATCCTGGAATTCCCACCCGAACGGCTTTGTGGGTCCACCCACAGCATGAGGGTGGCAACAGTTAAAGAAGGCAGCTCATCACCATCTTCAAGGGCAATTCGGGGATAGGTAGTAAATGCTGGCCAGGGAGTAGCCCCACATCTCGAGTGAATTAAAAATATCTTTCTATAAAGGACACTAAATATCAAAGCTTAATGGAGAAAAGTGTCTCATACCAGTGTACACTAGTTGCATGTGATAAATCTAAGAGGGATAACACTTTACCACGTATAATTTTTGATGTAACTTATACGTTTGCCAAAACATTTCTAATAGACAATGTTCTTATTTCTTGTTGCTGCCATCTTTGAGATGCAAGGCCTTTTAATAGGGCTTCCTTTTGTTAGATCTGGGACTTCCATCTGCTGGGCCCCTGTTAGGAGTGCCGGCAAGAAGAATGTTGAGGGAAAGGAGGAGGGCGCAAGGAGGTGAGCTGGGAGAAGGAGGGAATGAAAGGGGAGGTGGGGGGAGGGAGGAAGGAGAAAACTGCAAGTGGTGGGAAAAGACAGGAGTAGGGTGGGTGGGGGTAGGCTGCTGCAAATGATGGGAGTGGGGAGGAGTGGCTACAAGAGCTTTGGGATGGAGGAGTGTGCAGCAATGATTTTGGGAGGGAGGAAGAAAAGGAAAAAAAACAGAGGCTGCAAAGGAGAGAGAGCAGTTTTAAATTAAAACTCTAAATTAAGGACAAGCTTGCCAAGTGTGGGGATAATGATTTACAAATCAAAATAGTTGATAGAAGATACAATCTGACAAAAACTTAACTATATTTTGCTAATATTTCAAAGCTGGCATGAGGAAAAGTTGGAAGAGGAAGGATACATGGGTTACATTCCAAGATGAAGGGATAATGAATTGCATTAGTTAAATATCCCACAGGTGAACCCTCTTCAAATCTTATTCTATCTTCTCCTTGGGTAAGTGTAAAGTAGATTAGCTTGAAGAAGGGATATGGGAGAGAGACAACAAGGTGCAGCAAGAGGGGAAGGTCTTATGGTGTAGTGGGTAGTGTCACTGCCTTTGACCAGAAACAAGTCTCTGGTCAAGTCTCACTCTTGGACTACCTGGCCACAGAAGCAGTGTAGATAGTGTGGCTAAGCCAGTTGAGAATCAACTTATAAATCCTTCCAAATATTTAAGGCAGGCAGAAAGAGCAGCAGAGTCTCCTGGTCAGCCATATTTAATGCAGACTGATGCCTCTTAAACTACATCCTCTGGCAAGAGGCTGGGGATCTACTGAAGGAAAAACACACTTTGGAAACAGACACAATAACAATTTGTCTCATGTCACTAGACTCAGACAGCCTCAAAGTCCAAGTTTATTTGAAAAGGCAATACCCTTGGAGGACAGGATCACTGCATTTTTGACATTCATTGCTATTGTTAGTCACATGACATTAGCAAGTGTGGGTTTCAGCAGGAAAAGGTGCATTTTTGTTCTGTTTTATTGCCACCTGAATGAAGGCACAATGATAAACAGTAGGCAAACAGTAACGCAGTGTCCTAAGAGGCTATAACCCAGGCTAGAGGTGTAATGTAAGTCAGATTAATTATGTTTCTTTTGCAGCAACGACTATGCATTTGAATTTATTCTGATGATCACCTTTTAGAGCTTATTCTGAGTAGGCACATGTTCAGTGGATCAAAAGGACAACTCCAGTGCCAGTAATAGAAGAGAAGGTTGAGCTGGGTGTGGATGGTACAGGAAAGGTTCACAACCTTTTACACAACAGATTTCAAGCTGAGAGCTTTAAAATTACATTGCATAAAGAAATGAACAACTTTGAAATAAAATGAATAACAGATCATCAACCTAACCCAATGAAACAAAGCTTTGTGCAGTATAAGCAGAAACATGTCTTTGTGTTAGAACTTTTTCTGATAATTCAGATGAAAATGCTCACAGATACCAACTATGTAGCATGACACAGAAAACATTTAGAAATGCTTATATCTGAAATAACAATTAAACTTTCAGGGAACAAAATACCTAAACTGCAGATCATGCAGTGTAGTCATGAAGTTGTAAGATTTCTAATGTCGAAATACCTTGTTTTACTTCATTATCTTCTTCCATTTCTTCGGCTTCTGGAATTTCCACTTTCTCCCGTTTTGAGTTGGGTTCACCTGTTTGGAGTGCAAGCAGAGTAGCAGTGAGTCAATCATAAGCTTCTACTCTTGGATAAAAAGACAGTTTAAATGGTTCCTGCTGTCAAAGCTGTGACAGCCTGCAGAATGCCCTTGTTGACAGCAAAGAGCAAAATAAAGAGAGGATGGCATATTTGTCCGGATGATATCTCCAGGATTTAATGACTCTGCTCCAGAGATCACAAAGGAGATGGTGGGGCCATACAGGCTTATCCTGCTTCTGAAGGCAGAGGAGGAAGCTAGCCTTCATAACAAAGCAGGGCTAATGGTATTAGCACAGGAGGATATGGATCTAATGTCCAGAACCATTTGATGACCTGCTGAGAACAGAGAAGATGAGTGGCATAAAAATCCACAGGATAATATCCCTCTGTACTACAATGCTTCAGCGCAAAGAAAAACCCACTGGCAAAGTATGTTACTGAAAAGACTTAGCTTGTTAAAAAGCATTACATGGTGCAATGCCTTCTCAGGTGCAGATAGCTGCCCCTTCATTCATAGCTCTTTGATTTTCACTTTGCAGGAGAAGAAAGCATACAATATCCAGGAAAGGTCATATACCAGGGTGTGTGCCCTACCCTCAGTCTTAACGCAGATGGAAGATGTGAACTTGGAAATTGGCAATGTGTCAAAATAGCTTGGGGAAGCAATGGAAAAAGGGTGAAATACTAATGGTTGAACCTTGCCAGAGCTTTGAGGAGTGGCTAGCTCATTTTTACCCATTTTTATTCTCTCATTTGAAAAGCTGCTAACAGTACGTAGCATACAAGATGCGAGCTTCACGAATTGACATCTCAATGACAGGGTCAATACCAGAGAAAGGGTAAGAGGCAGCAGTATTAGCCTCAGAGGCCAGCAGCATCATGGGAGTCAGGTATACTCTCCCCATGCACTGGCTGATCGGTCACGTATCAAATAGTTAGCACAAGATGAGCAGTAGATCATGTATGAGCAGGAGCACATTATAATGGAAGCTGTGCATTGTCTCCATCAAGAGGTGAAGGAGAACACCAGTCATACTTGGCTCACTGGAGATGCCGACCCTTGGAGATTACACACAAACCATGTGCTTATAGGAGCAGCAAAAGGAGATGTGTGGATACCTTGTTGATGCCCGCAAGGCTGTGGAGGAGCTTGGAAAAAGATGGAGGAGTCCGTACATGTCATCTTTCGACTGATTTCATGCATGAATATCACCACTGACAGTGGCCAACTTCATGAAGGCTCATACATGCCAACCAACTAGTGGGTGCAGGAACAGAAAATTAGCATCTACAATATTCAGCAGCACTGAATGTTCTATCGCGATGGCAGGTATGTGCACAGAAGCACAGCCAGATGCTCTCCCGTTCTTGGTTAGTAATCACATATAAGGGTACCTCAGGAGGGTAGAGGAAAGCCTACTGCTAATGAAGGGACTTTCTCAAAGCACCCCTGGGAAACTGCTCCCACATCTGCCTTAGCTCCTCTGCACTGTGCCCCGCCTGAAGGTCAAGCCTGCCCTTACACTGATACACTGGCAGGTTCCTTATACAGAAGACGGTACCCACAGGCATCTCCTTTGCCAGAGCAGTAAAAAGAGGAGCTGCCTTCACTTTGGCCTCAGTCACAGTGAGAGCACAATGCAGAAGCAAGCAGAAAATACAGAAATTACACTAGCATCACAATGGAATGCAGTTGGGCGAATTTCTTTATGGCTCTGTTAAATTCACAACCTTAAATTGAACAAAGACAACATACAGACAACATGGAGTAGGTCACAGGCTTCGTGGTAGCCCAAAGCATACAGAGGCTCACCAGCGGCTGGAATAGCATAAAATGTTGGGGACCAAAATCCTGACATGGGATGGGTAATAGGAATGTAAAACATCAGTGGAGGAGTAACGCACATGGGTCAACAATTGAATGAAAGCACCTACCTCTGGTCTCACATGGATCATACCGCTGCCTGGATTGTCCTGCAATAATGGATAACCCAGGCCTACCTGCTGATACAAACAGGTAAAGCATTTGGAATTGCCTCAGCACATGCCCATTGTAACAGCCACCAGACAGAGCCGGATGAGTCACTTTTGGTGGTTGCACACTTGTTGCATTCTTCAAAGAATTGAAGCCCTTCCTATTGACAAATGGCCCTAGCTCCTGTGATGGTGTTTTAATGACCCCATGTGCAGTCTACCATCCACTGCACAAGACAGAACTCTTAGACGGAGGCAAGTCTTACAGTTCTTTGGATTCATTGTGACAAATGCTGTGGAGTCAGATGCCATCACATTGGGCAGTAGGGGGGGCGCTAATGTCCTAATATCACCAGATTAGTAATCTAAACTGCAAACTGGGGACATGGGTTCGCATTCCACCATGGCAGATGGCGAAATCTGAATTCAATAAAACTCTGGAATGAAAACTAGTACAATTGCTTGTTGCAAACACCATCTGGTTTACCAATGCCCTTGGGTAAAGGAATCTGCTATCCTTATCTGTTCTGGCATATAAATGACTCCAGATCCACAGCAATGTGGCTGGCTCTCAACTGCCCTCAATTACCAAGCTGACAATAATAAATGGCAGAAAAAAATGCTGGCCTGGTGAGTGACATTCAATCAACCAACCTCCTAAAAGTTGTAACTATGATGGATGGCTGATTGTGAAATCCTACATATATAGGAAGAATTCTACGCAGGAGTCTGCAGAAGACCTGGAAGGAGCCAACACATAATTATTCAGCAGGGCTGTCACTGGCCATACTTCTGGGATGACCTGCTGCAAAATGCATAGCCATCAGAGTCCTGGCTGCTCCAATAGATCAAGAATGCTGGCCTTTGGCCAAATTACCCATATCATACTCCTGCCCTTCAGTCATTGCAACTGGATACATTACTCACAGTATTGCACCTCCATCATGATCCACCCAACTGCTGCATAAGTAAACCCCATGTCAGAGAGCACCCTTCAATACAGAGTTGCACAGATCAGTGTAAGTGACTCTAGCAATGTTGCCCAAAACAAGGAACACCAACACTTGATGAACCTCAAAATGATAATTTCACAATACCAGCTCTCCGGCTATGCAAGAGATCATTCTTGCTGCCTTCTCCCTTAATGCTGGTCACCTTACTAGATGTTAATTTTAACAGACAATTGATTTCCAATTTGTAACAGTCTCAGGTGAGTTGCTGCAACGCTGACACAGAGTGGGACCTGTGCGCCATTTGTCAAATCTCACTTAAGTGAAAAACTGGGGCCATTTACAAAGCTTAAATGCTTACCCATTTCTGCTGGAAAACCTACTTGCAAGCAGGAATACTTTGGGAAAGCTGGCCCAACACACAGTTTCTAAATTTCCATGCTCCCTCCGCTTCCAGAGGGACAGAAAAACTCCAACCATTGGCTTGGAGTTTTCATGGGCTTTTCCCATTATCTTGCCTCAACTGTGAAGAAGCAATTACAGTGATCGTGTAAAATGGAAGTTTTCAAAGATATCTCCCTGGAATTTCTCCTGAAACTGCAGAAATTCAGCTGAATATTTGTAAATATCAGAAGACATTGACTGCTGAATAAAATGCAAGAATTTTGCTGCAAACACAATAGCAAATCGCTGGATTACTCCAAGTATCTCACAAGATCCAAAACACTAACTACATACCTTCACTGGATGTTTTCTGTTTACGCTTCTTGCCCTTCTTGCTGCCAAGTGCATTTTCACTGCCCTCTTGCTCACAAGCCTCTGCTTGATTGCCATTTTCCTCCACAATATGGGCTCCATCTTTCTTGCGCAGTTTTTTAAGCTTTTTCTTTTTTTCCTTCAGTGTTTTATTTTGTTCCTTTGTTTTAGAATCTAGTTCATGCTTCAAAGAATTTTTACATTCCTCTGAGTTTAAGAGTTTCTTTCCTTTTTTGGATTTTTTCTGCCGTTTCTCTTTTGCATCCTGTTTGTCTCCTTCCCTGTCTTCACTTTTGACTACAGGTGCCTGGTTCTGGTCTACTTCCACAGATTCTGCTGGGGCCACACCATTTGGAGTGTCATTTTGCATTGGTTGTTCTTTATTTTTATCCTTAGTAAAACAAATTTAATTTACTTCGATAGCATGAATAATTACATTACAGAATTATCAATATTACATACTGGAACATTCTCAATGTCACATGCATATTCCTACCACATTACAAAATAGTGCTCTTAACCTGCTCCGCGGTATAGAGTGGATGCTGTTTTGTCAATATTGCTTTAGAAGATGTCAAATATTCCAGCATCCATAGCTCTTTGGACAGCCAATTCTAGATTTTCACTATCCTTTGTTTCCTGATTTCACTTAACGCAGCTCGAATATAAAACTTCTGCTCTCTTGTTCTAGTGATAAGAACTCCAACTTCACTAGTCTCTCTTGTGAGTAAAGCATTTGATCTTTGCTACCAGGTAATGAATCATCTATCACTTTTCAAGGACCTTGGTAAACTTACAAAAGACGCTCAAACTTTGTTTTGCCTTTCATTCTAACTATGGCCTAAACAGTGCTTTGGCAAAGTTAAGAGTTAACCCCTTGCTTTTGTATTCCTTGTCTGATTCATAAAACCTAGGATTCTAAATGCATTTAAAAATTGTTTTGTTAAACACTTGAATAAACAAAACAAAAAGCACTTAAGTCCAGCTTCCCTTTAACTACCTTTAAAATTCTCAAATTACTTCCTTGAGGATTTAGTCTTATCTTTACATCTGGCAGTTGTAAATCGAATCACGTGCCCAATTTCAGCTTCCTTACCCACAACTACTTTGTCCCCAAACTACTTGTACCAATGCCATAATATTGGTAGTGTTGGCCACTGCCTCACCTATTCTGCTGCAAAAATCTAGCTCATGCTTTAAATTATCTTGAGGCTTATGTCTCCGATGGCTTCCCTGTTGATCTTTTTTGCATTAAGTCTCATAACTAGGTCCAACAGTCTCCAAATTCTACTGGTTCTCTGCATTTCCAAACATGTTGATTTCAAAATTTTTGCCCTTACTTGCACACCTCTTTATGGTATCACCCCGACCCTATCTTGAAATTTCTTCCCACTTAATACTCATATTCACCCTACGCTCCTTCAATACCAGATTGTAACACAGCTGTTAACTCGGTTGAGTTGACCAAAGATTGAACCTGTAAATTTCCTGGGCTGTAAGTTTGCTAATAGTCTGTCACAGCAGGCTGCAAAGGGAGTTGTTACAGTCTTCCCTAGAGGGAACTGTTAGAGGATTTGAGAGTATCCACGGGGGTAAGGAAAGTCCCAGGAACAACAGCACACAGTCAGTTTAACATCATTGGTGGGTAACATATAAGAAGCATGAATCGGGAAAATAAAATCAAACAAGCACTTGGACAGTTTTGCATCAATAATGGAGAGCCAGCACAGATTTGGAGAAGACAGATTGTGCTCCACTAATCGAATTAAACTTTTGATGAAGTAATAGAGAATGTGGATGAAGGGAATGCTGCACATATGGAACAAAAACAAAGTTGCTGGAAAAGCTCAGCAGGTCTGGCAGTATCTGTGAAGGAAAAAACAGAGTTAACGTTTCGGGTCCAGTGAACCTTCCTCAGAACCTGTATACATGAATTTTGAGAAAGCATTTGATAAGTAACAAAGCATGCTGGTTAACAAAACTGGAGTTCATGGAATAGGAAGATCGGGATTGGTAAAATTGGCAAATGGTTGTTTTACCGAAAGAAGAAAATGGATGAAACAGAGTTCCCCAAGTTCAATCCTCAGGCAAAAATGTTCTTTCAATATATTAAAATTATTTGGATATTGAAATACAGAACAAAATTTAAAAATTTGTCGATCGTACCAAATTTAAGAGCTATGGCTCACAGAGAGGATAATACCAATGGATTCCACCAGAACATAGTTAAGATGACAGAATGGGTGACAAGTAGCAGATGGAATTTAGTACAGAGAAATGTCAGATGATTTATTCTAGTAGAATGGAAAAGGAGAAGAAATATAGAATAAATGGCAGGATTCAAAACAGGGCTCAGGAACAGAATGATCAGTGGCTGCACATGCACATGAAGGCATTAGGACACTGAGGGATAAGTTAGCAAGGCATATTAGATCCTGAGCTTCATCAATAGAGATATTAAAGTACATAAGCAAGAAGTAATGTTGAACCTTTAAAAAAGTTTGGTTAGCACACAATTACTGTGCTCACTGTAGGAAGGACACAAGAGTCATCAAGGGCTTACAGAGAATATTTAGGGGAGGTTTGATGGGTGATTATGACATGCTTATCTAAGGCAGACAAAGCAAAGCTCATTAGCGGGTGGTAAAAGCAGTAAGGGGCATAAATTTAAGGTTTTAGGAAAGAGACACAGCATGTTCGAAGGGAGAATGTATTTATTGCTGTGAAAAACAATGAATGATTTCAAAAGAAGCAAATGAGGGAAACAAATTTATAGAGCTATGGAGATAGACCAGAGGAATGGGACTGACTGGATTACTTTAGAGAGTCATCATGCACTTGATGGGTCAAATGACCAAACAGTCAGAGAGTCATAGAGCCATACAGCATGGAAACAGACCCATTGGTCCAACTCGTCCATGCTGACCAGGTTTCCCAAACTAAACTAGCCCCTTTTACCTGTATTTGGCTCATAAACCTCTAAATCATGTACCTGTCTAATTGCCTTTTAAATGTTGTAACTGTACCTGCACCAACCATGTCCTCTGGCAATTCATTCCACATACGAACTACCCTCTCTGTGAAAATGTTGCCCATCAAGTCCCTTTTAAAACTTTCCCCTCTCACTTTAAAATTATGTCCTCTATTTTGAATTCCCCTACCCCAGGGAAAAGACCTTTGCAATTCAGCTGATCAATACCCCTTATGATTTTATAAATCTCTATAAAGTCACCCCTCAACCTCCTACACTTCAGAGAAAATAGTCCCAGCCTATCCTTATAATTCAAACCCTCCAGTTCCGGTAACATCCTTGTAAACCTTTCTGCACCTTCTCCAATTTAATAATATCCTTCCCATAGCAGGGCGACCAGAACTGTACGCAGTACTCCAAAAGTGGCCTCACCAATGTGCTGTACAGCTGCAACAACTCCGATAGTCAATTCTGTGACCGTTGAGGACAAGCGTGCCAAATGCCTTTTTCACCATCCTATCTACCTGTGACGTCACTTTCAAGGAACTATGTACCTGAACCCCTAGGACTTGCTATTCAACCCAGGACCCTACCATTAACTGTGTAATCCTGCCGTGGTTTGTCTTACCAAAATGCATCACCTCATATTTATCTAAATTAAATTCCATCTGCCACCCCTTTGCCCAGCTCATCAAAATCCCATTGGACTCTTAGATAACCTTCTTCACTGTCCGCTATACCACCAATTTTGGTGTCATTCGCAAACTACCTATGTTTCTTATATTCTCATCCAAATCGTTTACATAAATGTCAATACCCAGCACTGATTGCTGTGGCACACCACTGGTCACAGGCCTCCGGTCCAAAAAGTAACCCTCTACCGTCATCCTCTTTCTCCAACCGACAAGCCAATTTTGTCCCCAATTGGCTAGTGGTCCCTGGATCCCATGTGATCTAACTTTATTAACCAGTCTACCAAGTGGAACCTTGTCGAAGACCTTGCTGAAGTCCACGTGGACAATATCTACCACTCTATTCTCAACTATGTGCTTGGTCATGTGCGCAACAAACTCAATCAAGTTTGACAGACACGAATTCCAGTGCACAAAACCATGCTGACCATCCTAATCAGTCCCTACCTCTCCAAATGCATGTAAATCCTGTCTCAAAATCCCTTCCAAAAACTTACTCACCACTGACATCAGACTCACTGGTCTATAGCTCTCTGGCTTTTCCTTGCAGTTTTTCTTAAATAAAGGCACAACATTAGCCACCCTCCAGTCTTCCAGCGCCTCAACCGTGGCAGTAGATAATACAAATATCTCTGCTATGGTCCTTGCAATTTCTTCCTTAGCTTTCCACAATGTCCTAGGATACAGTTGAACAGGTCCCAGTGACTTACCTACTTTTATGCATTTCAGACCTCCAGCACCCCCTCTTCTGCAATGTGGACTGTTTCAAGACATCACTAATTATTTCCCAAAGTTCCCTAGTTTCCTTGTCTTTCTCCAAAGTAAAAACTAACTCAAAATATTCATTTAGTATTGCACCTATTTCCTGTGGTTCCACATATAAACAGGCTCGTTGATCTTTAAGGAGCCATATTCTCTCCTTAGTTGCTTTTTTGTCCTTAACATTCTTGCAGAATCTCTTTTTTGATTTATTCAGTGAGAATTGTGCTTCAATACCTATGTTTGCTTCACTGCCAGTCCTTGAACTTTCTAATAAGTGAGAAAACCAAAGCTTGTAGCACGTTCTGTTTTGACCTAAGGTCAATTGCAGGTGATTTACTGGAGTTGGAATAGCAGTTGTGCATGTTGACTTACCTTGCAGAGAGCAGCAGCAAAGACATCCCAAACCTGCCCCTGTAGTGCCTCATTGTAGATCTGCAAACTGTTTTTCATCCAGTTCTGCAACACAATGGAAAATATATAAATATCTCTCGATGTATTTTCTCCACGTGTAACTTATGCTGTTTCTGAAATTGACCATTGCTACTAAGTCAATACTTCAAACTTTCACTTTTAAGACCATCGGTATCAAGCTTTCTCAGGGCAACTTGAACTCAACTTCAGACCTTTAGAAATTGTCCAAAACAAAATGATATGCTGGCAACACACACAGACACACAAAATCAACATTTGTAAAGAGAAACCTTATGTTTCAGAATGCATCTTTCAGAGTTTCAAAGATTACAGATTTGGAACATTAGAATATATCATATCTTTTCAACTGCTGACTGACTTGGGTATATTTACTAATTTTTGTTTTTATTGTAGATTTTCAGCACTTCAAGCTTTTTTTACTTATAAGTTGTTTGTACATCAGTATATTAAACTGTGCATTAAGTCAAAGATGCTTTAAAATGTATACTTTCAGAAATTTGCATTTACATAAACATTTATAGATTGCCTGTATTTAAACACATGTACACACATACACACTAAAACCAAAATATTGGTGCACCTAGATATCAGTTTGCTACAGATGCAGAGCCGTCTTAAAATGCTGAGCAGTTGTAAACTCTTGTCTGAAAGTGCAAAGAATGCAAGCTGCAAGGTCCCTGACCAAAGATAGGCTAAAAATGAAAGTAAAAGCTGGTAAAGTTGCCACTGTCCTTTGGACTACAGTGCTGCTTTCTCATTAGAGAGATGGACGACAGGTGGTGGTTTAATCTGGGGGTCACCACACCTCAGGCAAGGGGAGAGGTTGAGAAGGAGAGTCCTTCATGGTAATCTCAGCAGTTGCAAGAATTGAATCAATGCTGTTGGCACCAGTTTGCATCATAAACTGGCCATCCAGCCAACTGAGCTACCCGACACTAATAATAATACAAGTACGTTGCATCTGCTCTATTAAAACACTATATTATTGATATTGTGAGTAATACTATAGGAGATATCCAAGTAATGGCTACAATTTTAAAAGATTAAGAAAGTGACTTCCAGTCCTCACATATTTGCATTAATAATTCCCAATTTAACCTTATTTCATGTTACCTATCACAACAAAGGACACTTACCTAAACAAGCAATCGAAATTCATACGCTCTACATTTGCTGTTGTTCAAGTGACAACTGTGAGTACAGAAAAGTAGTTTTATACAGTAAATGATGATGGCATGAGAGATTCTGTTTACCCTGGGGGTCTCTGTTTAAATTATATGCTTTATGAAAATGATTGCTTTACTAAACATTTTGAAATATCCTGTAGGAAGCTTTTTCTGTCTTATAAACTGTTAAAATCCACACAAGTACTACACAATTGCAGAGTTTGATGAAATGCATCCTGGTAAATATGTCACAATATTAAAATCCGGTTATCATTAAACAGAAAAGTTAAAATACACAAACCTGAAATTTGATTTTTTTTCGAGGTATGTTGTCATACGAATTCATTTGTTCCAGAATTTCACGCACCTTGGGGCTAACATTTGATTCATTCATGACTTGATGGACTTTCTAGATACAGGAAAAAAGACCAAAGTTAACATCTACAGCTGTACTCATGGACCAGACCAAACTCTCTTCAAATATATCAAGGAGATAGCCTAGACCCCAAATTTTTCTTATTTAAAGGCAACTGTAAGGTGCTGCATTCCAGAGGTAATTTGATTGGTTATGTTACTCGGCTTTAAACAAAACACACTTTATTCTTAGTCTACAGTTAAAATACAAACAAACAAGAACTGGTCTAATTTTAACTCTAATGGAAAACTTAACTGAGCAATAGATCATTTAACCACTAAACAGCAACTGTTCCAATATCATAATATCCCATAAATACATGCTTGGCAAAGGCAAATTCAGTAAAACAGATTCTCTCATATACAATTCTAGCAGCAAAGAAAACTCCAGCTTTTAGCTGTAACAGAGACAGACAGACAGTTTCCACAACCAACTTCAAAATCCCAGCAAGTACTGAAAGCTAAATTAAACCCAGGTTCTGTGAGAACCTGACTTCACCCATTCGTGTTGCTTCTATTACAGAATCATAGAATTTCTAGAGTGTGGAAGCAGGCCATTTGGCCCATCGAATCCTCACCAGAGCATCCCACCCAGACCTTCTCCCCTAACCGAAACTCTGTAGCCCTGCATTTCCCATGACTAATCCACCTAGCCTGCATATTCCTAGACACCTTGGGGAATTTAGCAAGGCCAATCCATCTAATCTCCCCATCTTTGGACTGTGGGATGAAACCAGAGCACCCGAAGGAAACCCACACAGACATGGGGAGAATGTGCAAATCCTACACATTAAAAAAAACCCAAGGCCTAACAAGCTACTTACTAAATTGGCTTGAAACAGACCAGTTGGCACCTCTGTTTCAACCTCTCTTCATTAAAAAAAGGACAAAGTACACCTCTTAAAGCCATAGTATTGTCACAACTCTAAAACGCATACTGCCTTTATTAACTTTTACACACCATGTGTCAGACACAGTTCAGTTCCTGAAAAGAGTCACATTTGACTTGAAACATTAACAGTTTCTCTACCCACAGATGCTGCAAGACCTGCTGAGTTTCTCCAACACTGTTTCAACGTAAGGCCCACTATTACAATCATCTGTAACAAATACAAACAACCAAAAATTGCAGTAAACAATAGTAAGAAAATATAACCCCTTTTTTTTGATCCCTGCACCTAAAGCAGCAGTATGACTAAGCAGAGAGTTTTTTTGAATTTCCTTCATGGGTTACACACCTCTGGAGCAGAGGTAGGGACAGAACCACTGTGCCACAAGAGGGCCCTCCTCATGGGACTGAATGACCTATTTACCGATCATATGTTTAAACCTGACAGTAACAGAATCCAACTGCGATAATACTGGAGTCCACATTAAACAAAACTATATATACTGTAAACACAGAAATCATTGCTTCGTTTAAAACAGACTAACTAATTTACTGAGAGATAGTAGGAACTGCCGATGCTGGAGTCTGAGATAACAAGGTGTGGAGCTGGAGGAACACAGCAGGCCAGGCAGCATCAGAGGAGCAGGAAAGCTCACGTTTTGGGTCGGGACCCTTCTTCAGAAATGG